CGGTTGCGAAACTGTTTCGTTTTTTGAATCAGGTCGAATTAACTGACTATTACTGTATTTTCTTTAGTCTTTTATTACAATATTTTCTTCGGACTTTTTGCTGTTTAGTTTTAAACATCAGTGAATTGACCACCTGAATAGCATGTTCACATAGTGTTGATTTGTTCTCCGCTGCTGACATGCTGAAGCTAACTAACCGTACAATTTCATGTAGTTAACTGGCATATCTTTCAAATATGGCACATTTGAGATCATACTTTCAAGAAGTTGCAAAAAGTTACGATGCCAAGTTTTCCGAAGAATCTTTCCAAATTAAGCTGAATTTGTGCCTTACGTCCGTTGTTCCTGCTGGTTATATGCAAACAAAGTTTTTGAATGGTCGATGATCAGAGTTTGATACTTACCGGATGAAGCTGCACAATAACTGTTAATGAATAAGCCATTCCTCTCGGATTCACCTAGAAAGAGTTGGTTGTATTTTACAAAAATAATGCAGGAAAAATTTTAAGCTCTTGCACTGAGTGCCAGCGCTGCTGTTTTTTCGCTGATACCAGTGCTCAGAGACCTGTGATTATCGGTTAAAATTTCTACGCGCTTTTGCACACATGCAAATGCAAAAACGCAAATTGCGACGACCTATGGTGTATGTGTATGAGAGTTTGTGTATGTGTATATGTGTGCGTTTGTCCGGGAATTTCAACTGAACTCGGCAACCAAGCAAGCTTCAACACTGAAATTTCTCCCAGTAAGTTCTGGCTAAACCGCTATCCAGAAATGCAGTGTCAACTTTGACGCACGTCTGAGTCCCGCGTGCGAGCACATGGAAATCGGTAACTCAGGGACCAAAAAAGCTGGAAGGCTGAAATTTTAAGAAGATATTCCATATCCTTCTACAGTTTAAATGTTTCATTCTCAGTTTCCAAGTACGCATGGTACTCATGCATAGGCTCGTGAAAGTTTTTGGTGAGAAATGTCAAACTGAGAACCAAAGAAGCTGGATGGCTGAAATTTTAAGGGCTATTTCATGTTCATTTACAACATATGGATTTCAAATTCAGCTGCCATTTATGCGTTATCCTCGCGCATCGTAAAATTTTTTGCTGGGTAAACTGCAAAATGAAAAGCTAGGTCATTTTCAATGAACTACCTTTCAACAGAAATTGTCCGTCTTCTTTGTCGCAAAATCTACGCTAACTTGCACTAATGGGTACACAAGCTAAATGTAAAGCATAACCATTCATAAAGCTGACAGTCTGATTGCTTCATGTTTAGTGCAAAACGAATGATCACAACGGCAAGCATGGTGTTTTCCAGCCTGGGTTCCACTATGCGCTAATTTAGGAATTTCCGAAGAGATGGTTGAAATGGAATATACAAAGAGCGGGGTCGTTTGAGACAGGATAGACCAAAGTAGATAGCGAATAACATTCAGCTGCATCTTAGTAATATCAAAGATTGCACACTATGTTGCTCTGGCCGTAACTTGGAAACGCAGAAATAGTAAATTAAAAGCACAGAAAAATTTACCTCACGCTTTCTGTTGATATTGCACTGTTCGAAGTGAAATGTTGCATTGTTCGTTTCCTTGAAATGGCAATTATCCTTATGAAAATGTCCTTTAGCGAAAATATACGATGGTTTTTGGGTCGCAGTTTTCACCTTCACTGTGATGGTACCATGCCCGCATTCTACTGCCGGCTCATCTACAAATTGATCGTGACAATCTGTCAGCAAGGATTATCAAATTTTTCTTTTCAAATAAACATACATGCCAGAATTTTAAGTAGAGAAATACATTGTTAAGGTCAACATGTAAGAAAAAAAAACAAAAGAACTTCAAAGCACTGTCTGCTTTTATTTTAAGTCTTCACAAATTCCAAAAAAAGCTTTAATTTTCTTCAGCAAAAGCAAAACTTTTAATTGCGAAAGTTTTGTTGAAATCGTAAACAGATTTCCGCTGCACTCATGATTTTTCATCATTCACTTTAAACACTGATACGACAAATGTTTTTTTAATGCTGTATGCAAATTTTTTGCCCAAAACCCAGGATTTTATTGCTAAGATGTTACTTATGATTGAAAATCTTATAACAGATATGCCATTAGCCTTCAGAACAGTTCTGGAAAAACTGCGCTGCAATCCACAGTTTCTGCCCGTATGGCATGATAGAAAGCTTTTTCAAAAAAAAACAAAGATAAGGACGACAACTATGAGATTTTGACTATTTAATAATTACGACTGGTTCTTACTTGCAAGTTGTCATTCGGTAATTCACGCAGCTTGCGGTTTTACGCTACGTTTTGTTGAAGCCATATTCGTTAATTTTACTGTTCTCCATCTTGGAAATTATTTGCGGCCAAGTTTAACATAAATTTCAAGGAAGAAATTTCCAGGACAAATTTCGCGATACGCTCCTCTCCCCTCTTTCAATCGACGTTATTTATCGGAAACTTGAGGCTTTTTTAAAGGAACTAGAAGAAAACAATGATGGTGGATACTTTCGGAGCAGTCGTCAGTTGCCCCATTGGCGCAGTCGGTTAGCGCGTCGTACTTATAAGTGCTAATGCGGAGAGATGCGAAGGTCAGCAGTTCGAGCCTGCTATGGGGCACATTCACTTTTGCGAAATCAATACCATTTTTCTCACTTGCACCAAATTACAGGAAGTTTCCTCAGTGAATGGCTCCCATATATTCTTGCCCGCAAATTTTGAAAAATATTAAAAGAAACGACGGGTATCAAAGGGTCTTGCATAGCTGTGCTCAGTGTGTAGTGGGAGCTTTCTATAGTAATATCATTAAATGGAATATCCGTACTGATGGTCTGAGCAGTCTTGGTATTAAAAGAACCATTAAAGATGACTTGAAAGATGACTTGAAAGCCAGTAAATTACGCGAGTTACTGCGCAAGATAGATGGCTGCAAAATGGACGCTTTTTTCCCAAGGGTGTCAAACTTGTGCAATTTTCTCTTCCAACTGACTGTGAATTTTCTTTAACAGCCTGGAAAATATACTACTTTTAGTGTTTCTAACTGAAAAAACTAGTTCATTAACGCACTCTCATTTCTTCAATCAGTGATGTATTTGTTACTCAGAAGAAAAGAAACGAGAAAAGGAGGGAAAGGTAAGCTGGTAGGGGGAGGGGCTGCGGAAGGAAAGGAGAAAGCAAAGAAGGAAGAGAGGAAAATAATTTCTCGCTGTGATTAGTAAATCCGGCAAAATGCAGCCTTTTGCGGCATATAATTTCATTAACAATCATCTATTCTTAACACCAAACAGACCAAAGAAATCCATGAAACAATGCGTTTGACTTAACAATAAATAAAATTTTATTCAGCTTTTGGTTCAGCATAAGTTTTTCATAATTTTGGTGCAGTTTTTTTCAGAATTTTAGTACAATTTTAGTATGCATTTTTGTTCGATTCTGTATTGTAATGAGATCGCCTGGGCTTGCACATATCGCCGTGCCTCCAAAAAATTTCAACTTCCTGGCCCAGCCGGCTTCCAAAATTGCTTTCCTGCCAAAATTTGATATGCTCAAATGGGTAATACAGGTGTACGCAACTCATTTCGCGTTGGAGGATTCGCATATGGGCAACAAATAATCTCGCAAAATCAAAGAAACTTAATCAGCCTAATTCCTGAATCGAAATTTTGCTGATTATTACGAAATTGTAATTTTGACGTGTGCACGTATGACGTACGCATATTTTCTGACTGAATCGAAACTTTTAGCTCAAAGAGGGGCAAAGAATATCTTTGAGAATTTTCAGCTTCCAAACAAACCTGGCTCCCGAATTCCTTACTCCTCCAAAAAATTACCATAAAGAGTGTCCATACGTGGAAATGCGCGAACGGTGGCTTTAAAAATAGAGCATCGCACGTGGGTGGGAAATAATTCAGAAATTTGAGCTTCCTGGTTCAGTGGCTGCTAAGTGGGTAATATAAGTGCACACACGCACATATGCTCACATATATCTAATTATTCATACCGATAACCTCTCATCAGTTTAAATTTGCATAAATGCAAAAAAAAAAATGCTTTTTATGCGTTTTTGCATATACACAAATGCAGCCCAGGCAGGAACACACCAGGCTTACCGGTGCGATCATGCATTTTTGCACTAAACCCGCGGGTCGCTAATAGCAGGAATAATCCTTGCGCTGCTGCCAAACACTTGGACACATAATGGCCATGATTCGGTTACTTCCGGCACGTAGCAGAATGGGCATTGGTTGGGACGAGGACGCTGCGTTATAGAGGCAGTTTTTTGCATGAAGCTCGGTCGTTTTTTCGGTAAATGCTTACTTTGTAAAAGAATGACAAATGCAAATTTTTTGAAAAAATGCAAATCTCCAGTTCACTAAAAAGTGAAAGTATTGCTCGAAAGGTCGTTCGCCAAAAAATCCACATCCATTGGCATATACAATTGCGGTTAAGGTCCAAGCTGCGAACGATTTTTTTGAAAATATGCAAATTTTCAGTTCATTAAAAATTG